ACACACACACACACACACACACACACACACACACAGAGCAGGTGATACATTTAAAATAAAGCTGAATGGACCATAATAAAACACCAAGGACTTCTTAGAGCTTTCAATATACTAATGTGTATAGTTAACCTAGATTAAGAAAATATTTTCAAACTTATTTGACATGAAATACTTCTTTTTAGTAAAAATGTATTCAATTTACCTTTTTTCAATTTACTGTTTTAAAAGGGAGTAATCATACATTTGGGTTCAACAGGACCAAGAATGCCAGCACAAAACCATTCTTCACTTGAAGGTCTTCAACTTTTCTAAATTAACACTCAAATATATCCCAATGTTCCAAACTAAATTAGTGTATGTGGGTGCAACCACTAACCAAGCCTATTAGTGACTTCTGAAATTGGGTCCACAATATACAATGATTTTGGAAAACACTAATGAGATGAATCTTACTTATATTTTAATACTAATGAGATGAATCTTACTTATATTTTAATACTAATGAGATGAATCTTACTTATATTTTAATAAGATTTTAGAATAAATGAAGCAATATTTACATCTACATCCAAAATATTCTAGTATCACTAATTTTACAGTTTCCCCTAACTCTTAACATTCAAACCACAATTACTGTAGTAAATGCTCAATTAAGTGACAACACATGAATATTTAAGAGACCAACAAAACTTGACTGGTCTGAAGTCCATGGTAACACAATTACCAGGTAACACAACATAAAGAATTATTTTAAAATGTAGGTACTTCAGGTAGTGTTTTTCAATGTTGCTAAATAGTATGCATAAAGTAATGATGCCTACTAATTTAGATTTCAATATAATCTACTTTTACCATATATATTATTTCTTAAAAAAAAAACAGAAAGCAGTTATTTACAGTAGGATGAGGGCAGAGGAAAACAATTAAGTTCTAAGATATCTTTGAACTAAACTGCTCTTTCAACTTATGACAAACTCCGTAAAACTAAAAAACACCAAATATATATACATATTCTTACCATTGTTTCAGAGTTAAGGATTTGTCTCATAAATTCCAAAAATGAAGATGCAAGTTCTCCCGTGTCCTTACTAAATGTGCTGATAACTCGTTTCAATAAACTATGCAGAGCACTACTGTTTTTCCTTAAGGAACTATAAATAAAGGAAATACAGAGGAGATATTGGGTTAAAATACAAGCATATAAATTGTATAAGCAATGAACTAAGGTCAGAAAAAATCTTATTCCATCATTTAAAAAACTGTAAAAAGTATTTCAGTGTGTCTGCATATACAAACAGTGTAACAAAGCAGTATCTATAGTACCAGCTCCTTTTAAAGCTGAGCTTGAAGCTCATAAAGAAAAATTTCCCCCAAATAGGAAATTTATAAAACCTAGCACAAGAAACTTGCCAGTTCCCCATTTTTTAAACTTTTCATAATTTCAGGATTTCTCTAACATAAGAGGGTTATAGCTGTCATAGAATCCAGCCCAGGTTAGATAAAACCTAAGTTTCATAATAGCTACAAAGAAAGATGACACTGGGCTGGGGATTTAGCTCAGTGGTTCCGCCGCCTGCCTCGCAAGTGCAAGGACCCGAGTTTGATCCCTGGTACCGAAAAAAAAAAGATGACACTGATCTGACCAAAGGAAATCAAGGATGTACATAAGGGTCAGCAAACTTCTCTGTTAAGAGTCAGATGGCAGCCAGGGGCGGTGGCACACATCTGTAATCCCAGCACTTGGGAGGCTGAGGCAGAAGGATCACTGCAAGTTCAAGGCCAGCCTGGACTACATAGCAAGACCCTGTCTCAAAAAACCAAAAAGAGGGCCGGG